TCTACCGGCTGTAGTTAAGATGTGAAGGTCCAAGCAAGCTCGCTTTGCACAGACTGTCCAGTCTTCCCCCGTTACACACAGTCCTGTCCTAAATCGAACCACAGTCTGTCATTTCACCCCCAGTCCATGGGTCTGCACCTTGGCTATGACTCTTCCATTTTCCTTAGTCTTGTTTAAGCAAAGCTAAATACACTGCGTGTTTTTTCTTTATCATTTAGCAAGCTTATCCGTCTAGTTTGTCAGTGACCTAAAAACGCATCGCTTAAGAGTAGCCCAGATAGGCCCCACGTGGTGACGCGGTTGGCAGCAAACTGACCTGCAGTACCGGAGGCCACATGGCTGACTGTGGATTTGGACCTCTGAGTTGGCCTGAAAACAAGCCGGGGGAAGTGTGGGTGCACCCAAGATCCTGATGAGCTGGAGGGTCAGGGGACGGATCACGGCATAGTGTGACCTTGTCATGGGTGCTTCCCTCTCCCCCTCTCTCTCTTAAAGTGTACTTGCATTCTCTACCATGAATAAAATAAGCTCTTTACAAATTAGCCCAGATAGTCTCACCAATGCAAAACAATATCAAAACCAAAACAAACAAACAAACCAACAAATTCACACAACAATGACAAAACAGAGCTGAAATTCCACGTGAGGGACACGACAGTCCTGTTAATGCGGCGTGTGTCTTTTTGATCACTGTTGACTTTAAGGTCAACAAAAACTCCCTGTGGAATTCCATGAAAACAGGCCCCATTTCATGCAATTATGATTGAACTTTGGAACCCCGTGGTTGGATTTCACCTTGCCAAGTTTGGGCCGTTCTGTTAGCTTGTCAGAGCCCTTTTGAACACTGAGAGTAACAGCTGCTACCGCAGCATTGCCTGCCAGGCTTGTGTCATTGGCAGATCGAATAAGCGTGCCTTCTATGTTGTCATCCAAGTCTTCAATAAGAACATTAAAGATGACAGGACAATCATTCATTCAAGAAATACTTATCAAGTATCTACAGTCTGGAGGGTGGGTCCTCAGGACAGAAACCAGAAGATAAATTGTACTAGGGCAGATCCTGAAACTGATCGCTTTCTGTGAGTCCCTCATACGAGGGAGACTTCGGTCGTTGACAGCTTAATTCAACCCATTAAGTACTTCGCCATCCCTGACTCTTCTCTTGGCATCAGCTACGCTTTGTTAAGGGGATTAAAAGTTACAGCCCTCTTCTCTAGAAGTTTGTTTTCTCGTTAGTGAGGTAACTCTCAGCACACGCGACATTTTATGATGCAGGACAGGCAGCATTTATAATCATTGACGAGATGGGGACCAGCAGATGGCGTCTTGGTGACATTGCTGGACTCCCACATGGTCAACCACAGTTTGAGTCCTGGACCCAGTGGCTTAAAACCAGCGCATGTATGTGCGTGCCCAAAATCCTGAGAGGAGACTGGAGGAGAAGGGGGGTGATTTCTCACTTTCTGTCTCTCTGTCTTTCCGGCAAGTACACATGCCCTATAGCAAAAACCTCTCTAAATAATAATAATAATAATAATAATAATAATAATAATTGACAAGAGGAGCAATACAGACCATCGACTTGATTCTGGTTAAGACTTCACTATCACTTTACTTAGAATTGCAGTAACAATCAGGCATTTAGAGTTAAAAGACACAATAAAGATCTAGAACCACCTCCTCTCCCATCCCACCATTATTAGTTTCCATGAATGGAGGGTCTATTTCTGGAGTTAATTTTACTCTTCGTTAGATCTAATCATTAGAAAGCCATTCCAATATCCCTCGTGGGGAGAACAAAATGGCTTCCTTGCCCCGTCCTACCCGTAGTGTGAGTACTTGCTGACTGTGTGGGAGACCTGAATGAATTCTGATTCTGCTGCCTGAAGCCAGAAAACGATTGGTCTGCTCTGACGATCTGAGTTCTAAACATCTACAATTGCTTTATTTGACATGGCTTGGAACCTCCCCCCCTGCCCCCACTCATGCACATCCTTCTTGTCACTCATGTTATGACCCCAGGCCTGGCAGAGAGCAGGATTCACAGTATCTGCTGGAAGCATGCGATGCGTGAATGACCCAGCTGGAGAGTGCCACTGTGTCCCTATCAGCCTGGAAGAGAAATGCTCAGAACCGAGCACAGGGCCTATGATGCAGTCAGGGAAGACCTGCTGCCATCCCCTTGCTCTGAGTCGTAATTCTACTCATGTTGCTTAGAGTCAACCCCCTTTTGGTCTATTTGGAGTTGGGAGAGGTTAGGAGGTATTGTGGGGAGTATCACACCTCATGGTGAGCTTGTAGTCAATCCAAATCATGAACCTGATCACAGAGCCAATGGATTAGTGAGGAAGCCCCATGTAACTGTCTATCAGGAAAAGCTAGGCCACCGTACTTACTTCCATGTGAAAAACAACAGTACGTCTCTCTGAGTGAGCATGACTTTCTAAGACCATGCTGGGATTCTGGTCACCATAGAACCTAAGCCCTAGAGAATCTAAAGATTTTACACTATTCTGGGGAGGAGATCTAAGTGAGTGGGCACAGGAAGACACCTGACAGGACATGACAGGGTGAGCGAAGGGACATGGCAGGTGAATCGACCTTCTCACACTGAGTGGAGTCATCAGAATGGGCCCCATTACCCCGGAAGGAGATACATGGTGTGTCAGTACCAGTGTTCCGACAGGTGGAACTTGTCTCTTTTTTTTTAGGTTTTTACCACAGGGTGCATGTGCTTGCTGGAGAGAGACACAGAGATAGAGAGAGGAACAATTAGAAAGCACCTCCCAGGGGGGCAAGAAGAACAGTCACTCCACAATCCCTTCTCCTCTTGGGATTTTGGGCTTGCACACACATGTACCCAGTGTGAGTTTCAAGCCTCCAGGTCCAGGATTTGAACCACGGTCAGCCATGTGAGAGTCCAGCAAAGTAACCATTACGCCATCTGCTGGTCGCAATGAAGATATTTCAAGCACTCTCAGTGTTCCAGGACGTGCTAAGCTCTGAGGATGCGGTGGTAAACATGACACAGACTGTCTCTCAAGGATATAACACTCCATCGAGGAAGGCGACCAACAAGTCGAGCAGCCACAGACGGGATGGATGTTGCAGTGGGAGAAGGTAAGAGTAGACTCATCCAGCATAAGGGAGCAAGGGTCTTCCCTGATGAAGCAGCCCTTGGAGGAAAGCTGAAAGGATGTGCTACCAGGACAAAAGATGGAGGAAGAGAGGCACGGAAGGACTAGACCTCTAATATCTGGAGGTAAGCGAGAGTCACTAATAGGTGCAGGAGTGCAACCCGCCAGGAGCAGAAAGTAGACAGGACCAGAGGCTCCTGACATGCTGGCGAGATGGGCAGGGGGGAAGCTCCAGGGCCTGGCTCGCCAAGGTAAGGGACTGAGAATTAGACCGGAACCGGAACTGGCAGTGTGAGAACTAGCAGTGCCACATGGATATCACCTGATTGGATCTCTCGGATTCTTCCCTGTGGGAACTAATGTCCGGAAGACATTCCATCCTTAATTTAAATAGGCTTTTTTGTTTGTCCTTTTTTTTTTTTTTCTTTAAGTTTTTGCCATAGGGCACATGTGCTCACTGGAGAGAGACGGAGAGGAAAAAAGTGAAAAATCACCCCCCCTCAATGGGGGTGGGCAAGCTACAATCCCTTCTCCTCCATTCTCCTCCTGGGATTTTAAGCATGCATACGCATGCACCCAGGCAGGTAGTTTTCAAGCCACCACGCTGTCCTTTTTTTTTTTTTTCTTTAAGTTTTTGCCATAGGGCACATGTGCTCACTGGAGAGAGACGGAGAGGAAAAAAGTGAAAAATCACCCCCCCTCAATGGGGGTGGGCAAGCTACAATCCCTTCTCCTCCATTCTCCTCCTGGGATTTTAAGCATGCATACGCATGCACCCAGGCAGGTAGTTTTCAAGCCGCCACGCCCGGGACTCTAATCACAGTTGGCCATGTGGGAATCCAGCACCTTAACCACCATGCCACCTGCTGGCCCCAATAGTTCCAATTGAATGCAATTTCTCTGGGCTTATGAAACCTTGGTCTGTGAACTCTCTGGACCTCTCCTGTCTCTTCTCTTCCCCCTCCCCTCAAGGCAGTGAACAACGAGAGTGGTGATGAGGAGGAAGAGCAAATACACCCTATTGGGTCATCAGAAAAGTCATGCGACATTTTTGTGTAGAAAAACACGTTATGATTTTTCTGATGACCTAATAGTTAGTTCCTTTCCTTAAGTGATCTGCTAAGCCTTAGAGGGATTCCAGTTTCCCAGTTGACTAATGAAGAAACGAAGGTTTAATGAGATTCAGTGGTGGCGGTAGACTGCATTGCTGGTCCTGATTTGCCGTTCTCCTTAACATTAGTGCATCTGTACACAATGTCTGGTACTACATGCGAGTCTGGCAAGGCTTTGTGTGCACGGAGTGTATGTCCCCTCCTCTTGACTTGGGGCTTGATCCTGTCATTTGCTTTGACCAATGGGACATCGAAAGACGTGTTTTGGGTGGAGGCTTGGAATGCTCTTGTGTGGTCGAGCATGCCTTCCTGCACTTTTGTCACTGCCAAATCATGTCCTGGGGCTGCTGCTCCTCAAACCTGGCCCTTGGACTAAATCACAGAGCAGACCTGAACTGGTCTACAGACTGGAGCTAAGTGCAGTTGAGGTCAGCAGACACCAGCTACCTCGAAGACTTCAGCCTGAAATAAAAGAGTCACTCCAATGGATCCAGAGACGTGTGAGTGTGTGTTTATGGTTGCAGGCCATGAAATTTGGGGGTAATTTGTTATGCACCATCATCGTGGCTATAGCTGACTGATACAAGATTATGCCAAGCTCACAAAGGAAATTCCTAGAATATACAGAACTGCCTTGCTATTGAGCTAAGCTGCCCAGGTGGCTGGCCTATTAGAAAGGAAGCAAGGTAGATGGCCTCCAGCTCCACTAGACTCACCCCATCACAGACCCCGCCCACCGCCTGGTACTCACCCGAGTCAGAGGCTGCGGGGCTCACCAGGCTGAGCAGCTCCCGCTCCTTCTCGTAGTCCCCTTTGCAGAGCAGCTGCCCCTCCTTCAGGACAAACTCATCGCCCTTCTGAAGCTGGCGCTCGCAGACACAGCAGCAGAAGCAGCTCAGGTGGTAAACGCTCTTCTGGGCCCGCATAACAAACTCGTTGGGTGCGATGGCCTCGAAGCAGCCCCCACATTTGACAGCAAACAGCCTGGCAGCAGGGAAGAGAGGGAAAACATGTCCTGTGAGTAAGGTCTGGCTTGGGCCCGGGTCTCCCCTGAAGACAATAGTAAAAGGAACTTTAAGAACCAGGGCACGGATGCACAGACTGGAATATACTTTAATTACAAGTCCTTCCTTCCCCGAGGAGATTGCACTAAAACATTCAGTTGAACTACTCTCTCGAAGGCTTAAGAAATGAAGGGCGAGAGACACTTGAACTCACGCCACGGTGGATCTGGTGTGCTCCATGACACAGTGTTCCCAAAGGCGGCTCTGGAGACTGATGCCTGCAGACTAATTAGCTCGCCAAACCGCAGTAACAGGAGCATCCAGGCCCGCTCCTACCAGCGTGGATAAAGGGTGTGGCCCCAGAATGTGAATTTTCAACGAGCTCCCCAGATGTGTAAGCTCCTAGACGCGCCCACAAGTGTTTGAGAGAGAGACCGCACCTTGACTTCCCAGCTGAGCCTACTTGCCAGGACCTACCTCTTCTTCCTATTCAGCTATTCCAACCTCACACTTACAGAGCGTCTGTACATGCCAAGCTGAAAGCAGTAAGTGCATGCGACGCGAAGGTGAGTAGAGGAAAATCCTGCGAGGCCCAAGCTCGGGCTAGTGGAAGAGAGGGACACGTGCAAACGAGGTAGAGGGCTACAGGAACACAGAGGAAGCAGCAGCCGCTCCCAGGGACCGAGCCGGGGTTTGCATCCTACTGAGTGCTCCGTAAATCTCGCTCAGACGCGGATGGGAGGGACGTCTGGCGGGCACAACGGGGTGGGAGGACGGCCGTTCCTGGAACAGGGGACAGCTTATGCAAAAGCCTGAAATCTCGAAGGTGCACGGTGTGCGTGGGTATTGGGGTGTACTTCGCCAGGTGGGAGGTGGGTGCCCCCAAGGACTGGCAGGTCAGGGTCACTGGTAAGTCATGACTGGGTCACACACTGACAGCCTGGACATCATCTGGAAAGCAGTAGGGACTTGTTGAACACACGTCTGAAACATAGTAAGAGCCACGTCTTATGCAAGGAGCTGCTGGCAACCCGAAAGGCAGAATGGAAGCGGAGGTAGGCAGACAATGAGCGGCTGAGATTGACCGGAGCCAGCATCCATGCAGCAGCAGGGGAGCAGAGCTCACAGTCGGGGACAGGACCGTGGGACATGGCTCTCAGGCTCGCAGTGGTCAGAGCTGGTGGGTGAGGACATTGCAACACTTCCACACTTCCCACCTCTGGGCCACTTAATTCCGCCCTCTTAGGAAGCCCTTCCTTCTCTGTTAAATCGAAGTGAATCCAAACTCCCCTTTAGCAGCCCCTGCCTCCTCCTCGAATCCCATCCTGACCTCCCTGTCCATCCTCTGAGTGACTACACCGGGAACCATCTGCAAGGGTCACTCAGCAGGGATCTGGCGATGTCTTGAGACTATAACACAAAACGTGGGGAGGTCTTGGGGCCTGGGGCCTGCTGCCAGCTTTGCGGAGAACTGTCTGCAACACCACGGGCAGGTTGTTTCGTCCGCTTGCACCATCTTTCGCTAGCTCTTGTTAACACTACTGGACCCACGTGGAAAAGATTGTGAGTTCACATCCCGGGGCCTCCCTGAGTTCACTGGGAGGCACCTGCATTCCTGTGATCCCGCTGCCTGACACTGCGGGTGGGTGGGGGTCTGAAGACCCTGTTGAGGGTGCCTGTCTCTCTATTTCTATGTCTCTGTCTCTCTCTCACACAAGAAATAAACAATATTTTAAAAAAGACATTAGGCTGGACCGTCTCTAGACATTAGGCTGGACCGTCTCTTCTACGACCATTTCTATAATCCTATAATCATCACTTGCTACTACAGACTCGACATAGTATATTAATTTTGCCTTATTACTTAACTTTTGCCCTGCTTATCACGTGACTTGTCAGCAGCTCGTATTTCAAGAACAAGGCCCATGGAATGTTGGGGTACACCACAGCCTCTTCACACAGTGGGTGCTCAGTAAAGGTGATTTGCTTTGACCTGTGGATCGCGTGCGTTCACCCGTGCACAGAGCGCAGCACAGGAGCTGACACGTCACAGGTACCCAGTTAGGGTGTCTCCTCTTCCTGGTCACTGTGGATCGCGTGCGTTCACCCGTGCACAGAGCCCAGCTCAGGGGCTGACACGTCACAGGTACCCAGGGGCTGACACGTCACAGGTACCCAGGAGACACAGGGTGTCTCCTCTTCCTGGTCACCACCATCAGTGACAGTCCAGGACTGAGCCTACGAAAGATCTAAAATTGAAAGCAGATCTCTGTTTCTTTCTTTTCTTTTTAAAAAATTACCTAACGATACCACAATCACGTGTGTCAAAACTCTGGCACACATGCAGAGATCATAGGCCCTAAAAATGTCCCCAGAATTCATGTAGTACGTCATTCATGTTACTATTTCCAACCTAGAGTTGTTTTCTTTTTAGAATAGTAGCACGATCGGGGAGAAGGGCCCTTTGCTTGTTCCCACATGCAAGAGGAGCCGGCAGGCGTGGCAAGGTCCGATGGTGTAATGGGAAGAACGGCAAGAAGGACGGAGAGGCCAGAGCCCCACGCTGCTCCCCGTTCTTCAGAGCCAGACTCCAGCTGACTCAGAGCACAGCCAGGGAGCGGATGCCAGTTTGCTCTGCTAATGAGCCCCACCTTGGCAGCAGCTAAGGAAACACGAATAACTGAAGACATTTTCCCATGGACAGGCCAACTACCACGATGGCCCGAGGATGGCCAACCCGCCTCACGCCTCTCACACAATCATTCCGTCATGTATTCTTCTCTTCACTCGTCCCTTCGCTTCCTCGGGAGCACCTGAGTAAGTTCACCCTGAAATACACCACACACTCTGCGTCTGAACAGAGAGGAGAGGAGATACCACCGCCCCGACAGCATGCGGACACACACAAGACGTGCTGAGCGTCTGATACATTTCAGGCACTGTGACAGGCACGGGAGGCCCCACGCCAAATCCTCAACCCATGGAACTCACCCGCTTGTGGGAGAGAAAGTAAGCAAACAAACAAATGACTCGCTGCGTAATACCCACCCCTAGGTATCTAACTTCGGGAAACAAAACATAAGAATAACAGAGCAATGCTCCGTGAACGCAAAATGGAATGCCATGAAGTTATAATGCGTATGTCATTGTAATAGTTAATCACTCCCCAACTCTACAATGGCACGAGTTCATGATTGTAAGTCAACGTGCGCCTGGCGTGTTTATCTTGGAAGCTTCCTGGGCGAAGGACAGAGTCTAGAGGGTGGAGTGGAAAGCAAGCTTAAGGAGGGGTTCCCACAGAGGCATTACACACAGATTGGCACCAGAAAGAGGGAGGCCATTCAAGCTCCTTGAGTGAATGAAGCCAAGACTTCAAGAAGAGAATGAGCAGCCTCTCGGGACAGAGGCCAGCCCGTGGCATTGGAAGGGGCCTCCCAGGACAGAGGCCAGACTGCAAGATTGGAAGGAGCCTCCCAGGACTGAGACCAGCCCGTGGCATTGAAAGGAGCCTCCCAGAACAGAGGCCAGCCTGCGGGATTGGAAGGACTCCCAGGACAGAGGCCAGCCTGCACGATTGGAAGAAGCCTCCCAGGACTGAGACCAGCCCGTGGCATTGAAAGGAGCCTCCCAGAACAGAGGCCAGCCTGCGGGATTGGAAGGACTCCCAGGACAGAGGCCAGCATGCGGGATTGGAAGGAGCCTCCCAGGACAGAGGCCAGCCTGCGGGACTGGAAGGACTCCCAAGGCAGAGGCCAACCTGCGAGATTGGAAGGGGCCTCCCAGGGCAGAGGCCAGCCTGTGGGACTGGAAGGAGCCTTCGAGGGCAGAAGCCAGCCTGCGGGATTAGAAGGAGCCTCCCAGGAGGGGCCCCCCAGGACAGAGCCCAGCCTGCAGGATTGGAAGGACTCCCAGGGCAGAGGCCAGCCTGCGGGACTGGAAGGACTCCCAGGGCAGAAGCCAGCCTACGGGATTGGAAGGGGCCTCCCAGGGCAGAGGCCAGCCTGTGGGACTGGAAGGACTCCTAGGACAGAAGCCAGCATGCGGGACTGGCAGGACTCCCAGGGCAAAAAAAAAAGACTGGAAGGGGCCTCCCAGGGCAGAGGCCAGCCTGCGGGACTGGAAGGGTGTGTGCTGCCTCACTTTCAACACAAGCCTTGAACCACCACCAACGCTCCCTTGGCCTCGGCCTCCAGCAGCACCTCACAAACACCTATCTGGACATGCCTTCCCTTGGCTTCTTAGCTTCAGACAAGGAGGTGAAGTCGGGGTACAGTCTGGGGACTGGTAGGGCTCTTCCCCCACTAAGGTAGGCCAGAACCAGAAACAGAGTGAGGAGCAGCAGCCCTTCCCTGCCTGCCTTCCTCTGGCTGCCCCATGTGGTTTTCCTCTCTGTGTCTGAACCTCGGGATGCAGCACCCCTTCACTATTTGCCTCCTTCCTCCCCTCATGCTAAACATGGCACATGGAGCAGAAAAATCTACTGTTTTATCCCCAGGCCCCAAGTCCCTAGTCACTGTTTGCTGACCTGAGCAAACTAATCACACTTTTCCAGGCGCTGGTCAAAGGCCCTTTGTGCCAAGCCTCCTCTCCTCCCCTTCCCCTGGAATGAACTGTTACATGGACTCGAGGCAAACGCTCCCAGGGACTCAGCAAGCACTTGAGACCCTGCAGCAGGTGATAGCATCTGTGCTTGGCTAACTTCTACCCTGTCCGTCACCGCCTCTTTCTCCTCCCTTAACTCCTTCCCCCACTCCGAAAACTTCCCCCAAGTTGGAGAAGGGAGGGTCGGAGTGAACTCAACAGAGAGCCCACCATGCTGTCTCAGGAGTGGCTAGAGGGAGCAGAGGGAGCCTGGGCGCGAATCCAGAAGTGGTCACAGTCACTGGGGACCAGAGACTGGGAGGGAAGAGGGGTCAGTCCTGTCTCTCACCATTCTCCCATCGGCCCTCCCGTCCAGGTCCACACCAGATCAACCTCACCTTACTGCGCTGGCTCCCGTCCCCTCACTGACCCAGAGCGCTTCAAGGAGACGAGGTGCATGCAGCCCGCCACCTGCGCGCCAGCTGTGTGCACAGCTGTCTGGGCACCACCGTGGACCCAGCTGCCGACTGCTCACCTCCCTCAAGTTGTTTTCTCTAAGGCTCAGGCCAGCGGAGAAAGGATTTGTTCAAAAGTCCAGGTCGTAATTAAAACACAGCCTGTCTCTTCCTGTGATCTGGATGGCGTGCCCCGTGGTCACTTCCCCTCTGAATGCTAACGAGACCTCGCTGGGTTCAGGGCCTGGCAGACGGGCTGCGCCTGGGCGCTGGGCGAGGTTTCTGGAAATGCACGGCTCCTCCGGGCGCACGCAGCAACGCTCAACTTTCCTCACTTCCTACCCCGGGAGCTCTCTCAGGGACTCCTCAACCCCCCTTTCTGTCATGTCCCTTCACCTGAAGAATGGGAATAATAGTATCTACCCCAGGGCCGGCAGCTGGCATGGTGGTTAAGGGCGCTGGACTCCCACATGGCTGACCACAGTTCAAGTCCCGGACCTAGAGGCTTGCTTTCTCACTTTTCCTCTCTCTCTCTCTCTCTCTCTCTCTCTGTCCCTCTCTGGTCAAATTAAAAATAAATAAATAAACGATATGTAAAGTTAAATAAGATAATTCTTTAAAAAATAAATAAATAAAATAAAAAGCAGTATCTACCCCGTGGAAAACCATCCTGGCTGTGCCTGACCCAGAGACCAAGCACTTGCGACTGCCCTTCCTCCATGGGCGCCCTCTGTGGGGATCCTGAGGGACGCCCTGCTGAGGTCGCCCTGTCCTCAGAGAGCTCGCATTCCCGCAGCAGGCTTGAAAGGGCTGAAGGACCTCATCGGGGTGTCTGGGGGTGCAGAGGGCATGGCACAGAGGAAGGACCCGCCTGGCTTAGCTAGCAGCCTGAGGCTGTCTGGGCAGCTCTCCTCCTTCCTCTCCTCTCCCACCCCTTCTCCTTCGCCGGCTCCCTTCGGCCTTGTTCTGCCTGGCAGGGAAGGCAAGGCAGACCGCAATCCCGCTCGGTGCCCTGCTCACATCCCACCTGTGCAGCCGCGGGCTGGAAGACAGCGCCGCACCTCCCAAGAGCGGTGGTCGAGCCCGTGGCTGCATCTCCTGCAGGCTCAGTTTGCCCAGGTGGAGAAGGCCAGAAGGATGCTGACGTCCCCGGATTAGTGAGGACCACGGGAGACTGTGTGGGGGATACCTGGGATCTGGAAGAGACTGCACAGCTCTTGGTCATCTCACTTGCCGTGCCTCTGTCTTTCAACCCTTGTAAATGCTTATCTTGTTGCCCCCAAGGTAGTTCTCAGTTCATAAAGGTTTCCTGGGTCCCATCATAAGAGGACACTTCCTCCTCCCAGCTTCGGCATGGGCATGACCATCTCCGGAGTGTAGCCCTGACCCAGGGAATGGCCTCCAGGACCCCTGCTCTGGTGTGGCCAGGCAGTGAGCTCCTGAGACCAGCCACGGTCTCTGCTCTCCCCACCCTGGGCCCACACCATCCAAATGATGGGGTATTTCTTACGACAACCCCCTGCAGCCCCACGCTGTGCTAGTGCTATGGGGGACAGGAAGGAGGGAAATGAGAAGGGACCTGGTCCAGGGGAGACACCGGACTTGAAGTGGGAAGGCCTGGCTCAGAGCTTCTGCTTTGAGCACCTGGCTCTCCGGTCTGCCTATCATGCGTCTCTTAGTGAAGTCAGCGTCTGCCAAGGACCTGGAGCCCGGGCAGGGAGCAGGTCTCTCTTCCCTCTGTCCCCTCACTCCACACCTTCTGACCGGAGGAGCCACTCTGCCTGCGCTTACACCCCGAGTTTCCAGGAAGCGTTTTACATGACCCTGCCTTGCTCTGGGAACCCTTTAAACAGTTCTTTTCTAGAACTATATCATTCAAATCAACATAAATATAAAACAGCTAAGACCAAAAGGGAAGGGTCACATGGGGACCCACACACCCCAGCTAAGACTGATTATCTATCCTCCTGTCTTCCTATGTATTTATTGATGCATTTTTGCATAGAAAAACATAAACTCAAGGTCTGTGAATGCATTTTTTGCATAGAAAAACATAAAAATACGTTATGACTTCTCGGACAACTCAAGGTTTGTGGTACAGGAAAGACATGGTTGAGTTTATTTTGTGCCGAAGGAAAGTTTGAAATCCACTAGGCTAGATGACTGCCGAGTTCACGCCCACTTTCACGTTCCGTGCTGTTATTTCAGGGTTCTGAAGCCTCTTAGCTAATGAGGGAGAACGTTTCCAAAGCGAACACGAAGGCTTCACACCTGACGGGTACTCTGGACTAAGTCTAAGAAGACCAGCCGGGAGGCGCCGAACCTCAGGACGCCGCAGCACACGCCAGACCGCAGGAACACAGCAGCGAGATGACAATGGCCAGGACACCACGTGGACATCGGGACCAAGGTGCCTGCTGTGGGAGCTTAGGAAAGTCACCCTGAGACCCTCGGTGTTTGGGATTTCTGTTTGTTCGTTTGTTTGTTTTTAGAGAGAGATTTTTTGCTACAGAGAGTGTGTGTTTGCCAGAGAGACAGAGACAGAAAAGAGAGAAATCACTCCCCCAGGGAGATGGCCACACCACAATCCCTTTGCTTCCATTCTCCTCCTGGTATTTTAGGCATGCATGTACACGCACCTGGAGTGAGTTTCAAGCCTCCGGGTCTGTGGGAGTCCAGCACCTTTCTATTTTTTTTTTCTTTTTTTTGGAGAGGTTTTTGCTATAGGGCATGTGCGCTTGCCCGACAAACAGAGAGAGACAGAGAGACAGAAAGCGAGAAATCACCCCCCCCAGGGGGGATGGCCACACCGCAATTCCTTCTCTTCCATTCTCCTCCTGGGATTTTAGGCATGCATATACACGCACCTGGAGTGAGTTTCAAGCCTCCGGGTCTGTGGGAGTCCAGCACCTGACTATTTTTTTGTTCGTTTGTTTGGAGAGGTTTTTGCTATAGGGCATGTGCGCTTGCCCGACAAACAGAGAGAGACAGAGAGACAGAAAGCGAGAAATCACCCCCCCCAGGGGGGATGGCCACACCGCAATTCCTTCTCTTCCATTCTCCTCCTGGAATTTTGGGCATACACACACACACACACACACACACGTGAGTCCCAGAGTCAAACCACAGTCAGCCATGTGGAGTCCAATGCCTTCCCCCCTTTTTTTTTTTTTTGGAGATTTTTGCTACAGGGCGCAGAAGAAACAGAAAGTGAAAAATCACTCCCAGGGGGGATGGCCACACCGCAATTCCTTCTCCTCCATTCTCCTCTCAGGATCTTGGGCATGCACACACATGCGCCCAGCGTGAGTTTTAAGCCACTGGATCCAGGACGCGAACCGCGGTGGACTACAGGGGAGTCCAGCGACATAGCCATTACGCTAACTGCTGGTTCCCTCCTCTGGAGATCTTGGGCTGCACGCACATGCGCCCAGCTGAGTTTTAAGCCACTGGATCCAGGACGCGAACCGCGGTGGACTACAGGGGAGTCCAGCGACATAGCCATTACGCTAACTGCTGGTTCCCTCCTCTGGAGATCTTGGGCTGCACGCACATGCGCCCAGCTGAGTTTTAAGCCACCAGGTCTGGGACTCGAACCATAGTCGACTATGTGGGAGTCCAGCAATGTAACCATTATGCCACCTGCTGGCCTCGGGACCCTCATTATACTACATTTCAGTCCTCTGAATTGTATTCAAGGAAAACAGCTTGAGGAGGACAAGAGAAAGGTCATTCATCTTCACCACACACACCCCGGGCCGGGAGCTGTGCTACTACTTTTACCGCTCACCTCCTCCGCTTGTGGAGTAGGAAGTAGAGCTATTTCACAGACTCAGAGCTCACCACCTCCCAGCTCAGCTTGGCTCATGATGCTGTCTCTCCATGAGACAGAGACCCTCTGGGGCCAGCCACCGGGGTCCAGAAGTAACACCGTGCTCCACAGTGCTGAGGCTGCGTGGGGAGGCCCCAGCTGTGTCCCAGCGTCTCCTGTGTATGTGAGTGTGCACACACACGCCCACCGTCCTGGCTGGCGGAGGCTGGGGCGGATCATGGTGGGAAGACCTGTCTCTCACTCTCTCTCCCTCTCTCTTTCTCTGTCTTTCATGAATAAATGAAAAAATTAACTATTTCTTTATAAAAAGAGGGACACCCTGGAATGGCCGGCTCCTAGGCCCCTTTTCTCACCTCTCCCATATCATCTCTGTGACTACCTTCACGTGAGAAGCAAGTGGAAAGATCGAGCAGCTAAAATGTGGCCTCCCCTCCCGGCCCACGGCCCTAGGGCAGGCCGAGGCTGCGGCCCACATGTAGGTAGGTGAAAGGCAGAGTTAAAAACACGTTGGTCCCTTTAGTTTCCTCAGCTCGTGGTCCCCAAAGCACCTGAAGGGATCCCTAAAAGTGGCCTCTACTCCAGGGATCTGAGTTAAGAACAGCACTGCATGGGAACCCTCTGCAACCGGGTACACACACAGGGGTCTAGGCCAGCTCACCAACTCCGGAAAGACGGAGCAAGGTCGTTCTCGGTGCAGCCCCATCCGCAGAGTAACACCGTAGGGCGCTGTTTTCCGCGAATACGCAGAAACGTAAGCGGCAGGGACAGGGTTGGACTCAGAAAGACCCAAAGAAATCCACCCAGAGAGAGCCCTAACTGTGGAAATAAACAACCTCTGTGGAAATAGTAGCAAAAGAAGGCAAGATGGTAGAATCAGATACACTTAGGTCCAGGGCGTCTTAGTTACGTGACCTTGGTCGGGCCACAGCAGCCTTGGTTTACCATCCATAAGATCGAAATAACGGAAGGACCTACTTCAGAGAGCCAGTGAGCAGTAACTGAATTAATGCATTAAGACTGCTTGACACTGGGGGCCAGCAGGTGGTGTGGTTGTTAAGGTGCTTCCAGTATAGCTGACCATGGTTCGAGTCCCAGATCCGGTGGCTTGAAAATCACAATGAATAAATAGATAGATAAATAAATAAATAAATACATACATACATGTTTAAACGAGGTTGCTCAGCACAGTGTTTGATGCATGGTAAACCCTCGATAAAATGGCAACCATGACGATGATGATGGCAGCGGAAAGTAAGAGCTGGGTTGGAAACCGGAGGGAGTAGCCAGGTTTACGCGCCTGCTTGTTTCAATGGTGGACCAACGTCAGCGGCTGGGAGAATGAGGATCAGAGAAAGAAGCAAGGGAAACGGAGGGCTGGGGCAAGGCCGGGAGCCATGCGAGAATGTCCGAAGTTAGATGTTCGCGGTGCTGGCTGTGGGCTTCAAGGCCGGGACAGGATGAAGGAGCCAAGAACACCCACCAGGTCTGAGCTGTGAGCAGTTGGGTTTACAATGTGCATGCAGGCTATCTGCACAGGGTTCGTCCAGATTTACCCAGCTGTGCTGGTTAAAGGTAGGTGTCAGTTTGACAAGGTTCACAGATGCCCAGACAGCTGGAAAAGCAATGTTTCTGAGTGCATCCGTGAGAACATTCCAGAAGACCCTGACGTCTGAATCAGTGGACTGCGTAAGGAAGGTCTGCCCTCACCCAGTGTGGACAGGCTCCCTTCTATTGGTTGAGGGCCCGGATTGACCGACAAGTTGGAGGAAAGGCACATTTGTTCTCTTCTGGAGCTGGAGCACCCTCCTCCTCCTGCTGCTGGGCATCAGAACTCGGGACTCTCAGGCCTTTGGTCTTGGACTAAGAGCTACACCATGAGCGTTCCGGGTCTCCAGCTTGCAGACCGCACACCACAGGAATTCTCAGGCTCCATGGTTATGAGTCGGCTCCCATAACAAAGCCCCTCTCATATACCTGTGCCTAGCCTGTGGATATCTGCCTACTGGTTCTGTTTCTCTGGAGAACTCAATACATCCAACACTTCAAACACCAAGTAAAGACCAAGAGGTGAACTGAGGCTTAATTTTCTTCTCAGTATCAGTAGGCCTCTTTTTCACTTGCAAATGTTCATGGTTTCCCTAATCTCCCCCTCCTCCACCCTGTCTTCCACTAAACACCAGACACCAGCTGCCCTGCCATCCCTCTGTCTGCCTCCAGGCTGGTGACAGAGCTCCCCACAAACAGGCATACTGCAGAGTACTGCAACCACGTGCGACACCAGAGTGACCCAAGATGAGGGCTTCGAGACCTAGGAGGTCGGAGGAAGACTATAAAAGGACTCCTGTTATGGAATGAGACAGTTCCCGAACTAGAGGTATGTTTGGACAGACCAAGCTCTTCAGTAACCTTGACCCAAAGTCCTCAGACCTTAAACAGAGCTTCTCAAGGCCTCCACACGACCGACAAGCAAAAAGGACAGAAGATGAAATAAACATGTAAAAACCCCTCATTGCAATTCGAGCCAACTGCCAATTACTCATTTTGCCCCAGAATAAGTCATCGGAGCTGCCGTCAGCTTTCTGTAGGAGACAGCCTCAATAGATCATGCACCCTTGCCACGGGTACCGCCGAAATACGTTTTGATCCGGAAAGTGAAACCTTCGGTTTAGGAAGTTAGAAGAGGGTCTTGGGCAGCCCTTCAGCACCAAGGCCCCCAATCTGTGCATCACTCAGTTTCCACCCTCTCCACCAGGGGGCAGCATAGCAGCATTCATCAAGTGCCATGTTGACTTGGTAACAGGTCATCCAGGCGGAGACAAGGATTGGCCATAAGCCAAAACTGTCTGCCGGAAAATCTGCTGCTGGGAGTCTGGGAGACCATGTGGCTCAACTGAGGGAGAGATGGTGAGAGAAGAGTATTCAAAAGTGTTGGGAACCAAAAGCATGGCTTGTGGCCTTAGAAGTAGTGACACAAGCAACCTTGTCAGCTGGCTCAAGGTCTCTGTCCTTGAGGCTGAGCCAACAGCACCACAATAAGCCACTGAGCACGTGGCCCTGGGGCGGTGGGAAAGTCTGCAGGGACAATGGAAGTGGCAGGATCTTCTATAGGAGACGGCCTCAAGACGCTGCAGTGGTGAGAAAATGGAGAACAATAAGTGGCTGGCAGAGTCAATCAAGTCTCGCCTCCCCCTGGTTCCTGGGGCGCTCGCTGCGCTGCGAGGAGGGACATACAATGGGACGAGGGACAGAGAGGCTGAGTGTGATGTCTGCGCCTCTCTGGCCCCACCAAGAAAGGCAGGTTCTACACCTCACAAACGCTGCCGGCGGGGCGAGGTTTTACCTGGGGATGGGAGGCTAGGCTCCTACCTGCTCTCACAGAACTGCTCCAGCGTCAGTGAGGCAGCGGGAGCACGGCTTCTGAAAAGGCTGATACAATCCGGATTCAAGTCCCAGGTCTACACAGGCTCTCCTGGAGCATCGCCTACTTATTTTCTATAAAGTGAGCTCCTACCTATCTTATGAGACATTGTGGAGATTAAGCAAGATAATCTATCTGAAGTATCTGAAACATACTAACGGCTCTTAATAAGTAGTGGTTTTTAACTCCCTTTATGGAAATCAATTTAACCTATCTGCTCGGGCAAATATTTGTATAAGATAAATGATGTCAAGACAGCCCACTGAGCCAAAAAACAAAACCTCTGATGTACCTCAAGGCTCTGTTCTTCATTATTATAACAAATTAAACCGTAGTTGAGCAAGCCTTTTCTAGGTTATTGGAGAAGAGACTAACAAGCAAACATGAGAGGCCAAACCCTTGAGAAGAAACAGTGCATTTGGTTCAGGCAACTAAGACCAAGGCTCCCCTGCCCCGAGGTAAATATTGACACCAGCACCCAGTGTTGACTGACACCCACCTCCACTGCCCGGCACCCAGCATATGGTCAGGAAGTCAGCTCAGCCACGCTAGCCACCCAGAGCCCACAGCTGCTATTTGGTTAATGCTGACATGGTCTGGCAAATATTTGGAACAGACCCTTCATATCACGTCAGTTCTCGGACGGCTGCCTCCTACAGAGGCCGCCGACCCCCGCGTGGATCCGCGCTGAAACACCCACGTCCTCACCTTGTCACCCCAGTTCTCAGGGCCCGGGAGAGGCCTGTCACCCACTGTACGGATGGAGAGAAACCAAGGCCCAAGAAGGAGCAGTGCCATCCCCACTACAGAGACAGCTGAGACTGCTGAGAGGGCCAGCTAGAGCCTGAAGGTCAGTCAATGATCAAGAAAAAGAGAAACGCTGAGGGACCAGCAGTTGGCGTAATGGCTATGTCGCTGGACTCCCATGTAGCCGATCGTGGTTTGAGTCCCGGTCCCAGTGGCACGTGTGCGTGCGTGCCCAAGATCCGGAGAGGAGAATGGAGGAGAAGGGATTGCGGCATGGCCATCCCCCCTGGGGAGTGATTTCTCACTTTCTGTCTCTCTGTCTCTCTCTGTCTGTCTGGCGAGCACACGCGCCCTATAGCAAAAAAAAAAAAAAAAAGAGAGAGAGAAAAGAAAAACACCTCTCCAAAAAAAAGAAGAAAAAGAAGGGCTGAATAGTGACCCTGTGGTAAAGCACAGGGCTCAGCGAGGCCGACCCACATGGGAGGTTCTCTGGGTGTGCTGGCACACTGTACGGATGGAGCCCATGACCCAGGGCTTGCAAAGGATTGGCAGGGGTTGGACTAAGGTATCAAAACCCTGCTGGGGAAGGGGGGTGTCTGTCTCTGTCTCTCAGACTCATGGAAGAAATAAAATAAACTTTTAACAAATAAGAAAAGGGGGGCCAGCCGGTGGTGTAGTGATTGAGATGCTGGATTTCCACCTGGTCAGTCACAGTTCAAGTCTGGCACCCGGCAGCTTGAAAATCATTCCAGGCACATGCGTGTGCATGCCCAAATTCCTGAGAGGAGAGTGAAAGAGTAGGGATTGTGGCATGGCTGTCCCCGCGGGGGGGAGCTCTCACTCTCCCTCTCTCTGTCTCTCTCCAGCGAGTGCACTCACCGTAGGGCAAACATGCTTCTAGAAAATAAGAAAAGGAAACAGAAGTGGCTAAAGCCTACACCTAGAGGTGCAAATGCGACCCTCCGGGCTCTTCAGTAGCGCCCTGACTGGCTAAGCGGGGTGGAAGCCGCCTGATACGCTGAGTGATCGCAGTGTGTGGATGGTGAGTCTCTCCTACCTGGAAGCTCTGTCCTGTCCCCTCCTCTTCTTTTTTGCTGAAACCTGGAAGCTGTCTATGAAGCGAGGCCTCGAGCATCACCCTGCGGTGAAAGTGCGGACTCCAGAACCTCAAGCCACGGTGGTACACCTTTTGTTAAGGACCTTTCACACTGTCACGCAGACACGCGGAAATGGCAGGAAACAAAGCAGAGTACGGAGCGTAGACGCTTTCCTTTTAGGGAGCTCGATATTTGGGTTCCTTTGAAAACAGCAGCCTTCCTTTCCCTTCATCCTCATTCGCGTCCTGGGACATGCTTAGGCACACCCGGCAAACAGCCGAGCAGGGGGACAAGGCATTTTTAGCACAGATTCCTATTGTATACGTTTACGAAGAATGCGTTCCCTGGGTCCTGCGAGTGTGTGTGCATGTGTGTGTGTGTGTCTGTGTGTGGACCTAATAACAGGACCTATTGATGAGAAAGATACCGGGGCCCCAGCAGGGGGCAACACTGAGCTCGCATGAGTCTCTGTCCCCTTTTAGTCCTTGTCACCACTGTGCTAGGACACTGCCACAAGGTCATGGAAAATGGAGGTAAAGTGCGAGTTCATTCTGGTGCAAAGAAATGTTGAGACCCACGTGCGTTTTTTTCGTAATACGCAGTGACCACGAATTTTGAGGAGCCCTCATGGGCCTAGAGAAGAGTCAGGCGGAAAGCGCCTCATAGCAGCAGCCCGGAAGTAGGAAT